GCTGTGTGGTATGCAGTCTCATGGGTACCAGGTGCCCAAGGCTGGCTACAGGCCTGTCATGACCAGTTTCCTGATGAGTTTTTGAATGCGATCTGTAGTAACCTCTCCTTTTCAGCCCTGTCTGGCTCCAACCGCCGCCTGGTGAAGTGGCTCTGTGCTGGCCTGCTCCCACCCCTTACCAGCTGCCCTGAAGGCCTGCCCCCTGTTCCCCTCACCCCAGACATCTTTTGGGGCTGCTTCTTGGAGAACGAGACTCTGTGGGCTGAGCGACTGTGTGGGGAGGCAAGTCTACAGGCTGTGCCCCCCAGCAACCAGGCTTGGGTCCAGCATGTGTGCCAGGGCCCCACCCCAGATGTCACTGCTTCCCCACCCTGCCACATTGGACCCTGTGGGGAACGCTGCCCAGATGGGGGCAGCTTCCTGGTGATGGTCTGTGCCAATGACACCATGTATGAGGCCCTGGTGCCCTTCTGGCCTTGGCTAGCAGGCCAGTGCCAGATAAGTCGTGGGGGCAATGACACTTGCTTCCTAGAAGGGCTGCTGGGCCCCCTTCTGCCCTCTCTGCCACCACTGGGACCATCCCCACTCTGTCTGACTCCTGGCCCCTTCCTCCTTGGCATGCTATCCCAGTTGCCACGCTGTCAGTCCTCTGTGCCAGCCCTTGCTCACGCCACACGCCTACACTATCTCCTCCGCCTGCTGACCTTCCTCTTGGGTCCAGGGGCTGGGGGCGCTGAGGCCCAGGGGATGCTGGGTCGGGCCCTACTGCTCTCCAGTCTCCCGGACAACTGCTCCTTCTGGGATGCCTTTCGCCCAGAGGGCCGGCGCAGTGTGCTACGGACAATTGGGGAATACCTGGAACAAGAGGAGGAGCAGCCAACCCCACCAGGCTTGGAACCCACTGTCAACCCCAGCTCTGGTATAAGCAGGATGGAGCTGCTGGCCTGCTTTAGTGTGAGTGCTCTGCCAGAGGGAAAGCTCCTAGAACAGTGAGAAGGCCCTCCAGGGGAATTCCTCGTGTACTCAGAGGCGGTAGTGTGGTGTAGTAGTTGAAGCACACAGCTCTAGAGTCAGACAGGCTTGGATTTATATCTTGGTTCTGTGACCAGCCTTGAATGAGTTATTTAACTTCTCTGAGCAATATTTTTCTCGTCTCATTTATAAACTAGGGATGATACTGGTATATGAGATAATACATGCTGTGGGCTTAGCACAGTGCATGATACACAAGCGTGCAATAAATATTACCTTGTTATTCTTTTAGGCTCTTTGCTTTCTGCACCAGAAAGAAAAAGGATCAAGTTAGAGGACTCTTGATTTTTTTCCTAGAGATTGAGAATTGGAGGCTGGCAGAATACAGGAAGATAAGGCAGGAATGAGAAAGATTCAGGGACACTACCAATCAGAAAACTTTGGTTCTAGGTTCAACTGTGCCACAAATTACTGTGATCTTAGGCAAGCAATTTCATTTAGTTTTTCTGGGCTTCAGTTTTTACTCTGTAGAATGGAGGGGTGGGAATATGTTAAACACCGTAATTCATTCACTGAATGCCTATTATATGCAAGGCACTTTGCTAGGTTCTGTAGGATATATAAAGATTCCTTACTCCATTTTGGGGGCTCCATTTTTCAAGCCCTGGGCCCAGTAAAATGGAATTAGATAGTCTCATAGTATTTGGTTCAGGTCTGCAAGTATTAATTGATCCAACTATGGACCTGGCATGGGAGAGGGTACAAGAGAAATTAGAGATATGATCCTGGACCTAAAAGAGCTTAATATCTGAAGAATCACAGTTGAGATGAAGGACGAGCATCCCAGCAAGTGGAGTTGGAAAGCCTGGGGGAGCTGCAGGAGAGACAGAGAAGACAGCTCTGTTGGCATATTGTCTTTCTTCCCACCAGCCTGTGCTGTGGGATCTGCTCCAGAGGGAAAAGAGTGTTTGGGCCCTGCAGATTCTAGTGCAGGTAACAGGTGGAGGGCCCATGGGTGGGCTGGGTGACAGCCATGGCCAGAGGTCCCTGCCCTGTGAGGCCATACCCACCATGACCTCCTATTCACAGGCATACCTGCATATGCCCCCAGAAAACCTCCAGCAGCTGGTGCTTTCAGCAGAGAGGGAGGCTGCACAGGGCTTCCTGACACTCATGCTGCAGGGGAAGCTGCAGGTGAGCATAGAGAAAGAGGGGAGCAAGGGCACCTGGAGCCTAGTGTTCAGAGGGCTTGCCTTAGTGGGAGGAGGAACTCCAGAGAGGAAGTGGCAGGGATACTGAGCATCTCCAGAGGCAGAATCCATTCCTGTGCCCCCACAGGTACCACCATCTGAGGAGCAGGCCCTGGGTCGCCTGACAGCCCTGCTGCTCCAGCGGTACCCGCGCCTCACCTCCTAGCTCTTCATTGACCTGTCACCACTCATCCCTTTCTTGGCTGTCTCTGACCTGATGCGCTTCCCACCATCCCTGTTAGTCAACGACAGTGTGTAAGGTTCCTGTACCACTCCTCCTGCTCCTGTCAGGGTCAGGCCAACCCCATCCAGCTGGAGCAGCTCCTTCCGGAGCTCCTGTTTTTTTCTTTCATGCCAGATAGGTAATGTGCCAACATCGTAACAAGGTTTGAGAGAGGCGCATCTCATACCTGAGTGTGAAAACCCAGTCATGATGCTAATGAACTACAAAAGGATCAGAGAGGTCCTCTCTATAAAACCAGAGGCCGGGCGTGGTGGCTCACACCTGTAATCCCAGCACTTTGGGAGGCCGAGGCAGGCAGATCACTAGTTCAGGAGTTCTCTGGCCAATATAGTGAAACCCTGTCTCTACTAAAATACAAAAATTAGCCAGGCTTGGTGGTGGGCGCCTGTAGTCCCAGCTACTTGGGAGGCTGAGGCAGGAGGATAACTTGAACCCGGGAGGCAGAGGTTGCAGTGAGCCATGATCGCGCCACTGCACTCCAGCCTGGGCAACAGAGCGAGACTCCATCTTAAAAACAAAACAACAAAACAAAACAAAGACAGGGAGAGTCTCCTTCCTATCTAGACAGCAGGGCTACAGAGGGTCAGGGGAAAACGGTTTGGAAGAAGACAAAGGGTTAAGACCTATTACTCCTCGCAGCCTGGCTACCATCCGGGATTACAGCCCAGGAATGAGGCCTGAACAGAAGGAGGCTCTGGCAAAGCGTCTGCTGGCCCCTGAACTGTTTGGGGAAGTGCCTGCCTGGCCCCAGGAGCTGCTGTGGGCAGTGCTGCCCCTCCTCCCCCACCTCCCTCTGGAGAACTTTCTGCAGCTCAGCCCTCACCAGGTATGAGAATCATCTTCTTTATTTGACTGGCCCATCTTCTGCTAGTGGGGACGAGAGTCAATGGCGTGTCTGTCAGTGGTCCCTCCCTGCAAGAACCCCACAGTGACCCCAGTGCGAGCTAACTTCCCCCATCTCAGATCCAGGCCCTGGAGGATAGCTGGCCAGCAGCAGGTCTGGGGCCCGGGCATGCTCGCCATGTGCTGCGCAGCCTGGTAAACCAGAGTGTCCAGGATGGCGAGGAGCAGGTACGCAGGTGAGTTGTGGGATCAGTAACCAAGGCCAGAGTGGAAGAGGTAGAGAGAGGAAGGTACAGGTGTCATGGTGGGTAGGTGTTCTAGGAAGGAAGGGGCAAGGGAGTAGGCAGTGGCCCCAGGCAGCACAGAGTTCCAGGAGAGGTCTATAGATGGTGCCCCTGTGTAGTGGTGTAGTGGTCAGAGTGCCCAGTGTATGTACCCACATGGTCTGCTGCCAGGCCTGCCTTAGTGCTAGTCTCAGGGACCACACAAAGGTCAGCTTCATGCCCTCCTCAGGCTTGGGCCCTTCGCCTGTTTCCTGAGCCCTGAGGAGCTGCAGAGCCTAGTGCCCCTGAGTGATCCGATGGGGCCGGTAGAACGGGGGCTGCTGGAATGTGCAGCCAACGGGACCCTCAGCCCGGAAGGACGGGTGAGCCCCTCAGCACAAGCCTAGAAGACTCTAGGCTTCCCCTGGGTCTGTGTGGATGGCTTTCCCATTGTGTCAACTTGAGCACAGTGGTGCCAGGCCCCCATCCCGCTTTTGCAACCTCCATTCCTTACTCCATGGCCATTCTTACCTGTTACCACCTCTTCCTGGCCCTTCCCTATCTGGTCTGTGGCACCTCAAACACACCCTTTGCCATTTTGAACCTAATCTACTCCAGTCCAATCCCTAGTTCCAAACCCTATCCCAAGCCCTGGGAAATTCAGATGTGGGATTAGAGAGGAAGTTCAAGGTTCATCTGTCTTTTCTCTCCAGTCCTAAACCTTCTTTGGTTACAGGTGGCATATGAACTTCTGGGGGTGTTGCGCTCATCTGGAGGTGCGGTGCTGAGCCCCCGGGAGCTGCAGGTCTGGGCCCCTCTCTTCCCTCAGCTGGGCCTCCGCTTCCTGCAGGAGCTGTCAGAGCCCCAGCTTAGAGCCATGCTTCCTGTCCTGCAGGGAGCTAGTGTTACACCTGCTCAGGTTTGCCTCTCTCACTCCCTGGCATGCACCCTCCATCCCTGCTTGAGCCCTGTCAAGAGAATCCCATTCAGGGATAAAACCAGCCCCTCCTTTCCCTGGGTGAACACTAAAGGTAAACTCTGTCCACACGAGGACACCTTCATTCCCTTTCCTCAGATCAAGAAAGGACCTGAGTCACTGAGGATGGTTACTGGGGATGTTTAAGAGGGAGTGGGAAGTTTTGGAGGGTTTGCCTTAGGAACCCACTTAGGACCTGGCTGCTGGGTCCTGAGAGCTGTTGTTTTTGGTCCCATCCCAACACAGGCTGTCCTGCTGCTTGGACGGCTCCTTCCTAGGCACGATGTGAGTAGCTGCAACCTCAGCCTCTCGCCAGAGGTCTCTATCCCCCTTTTCCCTTGCTTCTGCATCTGTCCCTCCTCTCTCTCCACTCCCCTCATACTTACTGCCTTGCTGCATTGTGATTGTTGTCTTCCCCACCACCCTTCCCTTCCTCTTCAGACCTCTTGTTTCTCTTGCTCCTTAGCTATCCCTGGAGGAACTCTGCTCCTTGCATCTTCTGCTGCCCGGCCTCAGCCCCCAGACACTCCAGGCCATCCCTAGGCGAGTCCTGGTTGGGGCTTGTTCCTGCCTGGCCCCTGAACTGTCACGCCTCTCAGCCTGCCAGACCGCAGCACTGCTGCAGACCTTTCGGGTATGAGAGTAGCAAGGAGGATGAGACAATCAGGGATACGGGCTCTCTCTGGTTGGGAGGAAGGCGTCTTCCCTGAGGCCAGGGAAGGCCTTTCTTCATACTTCCCCACTTACACACATACACACACACACACCCAATTCTCATGCAGGTTAAAGATGGCGTTAAAAATATGGGTACAACAGGTGCTGGTCCAGCTGTGTGTGTCCCTGGTCAGGTAAGTGTGAGATCTCCCAGCTGAGCTCCTCTCCCCATTTTGGGGCAGTTTCATATGGCTGGTGCTGCCTCCCCCACTACCCTGCAGTGGCCCTGAGAGTTCTGGTTAGCTCTGTACCCATTAGCAGCCCTCCCCAGTTCCAGATGCAGGACAGCATGATCCACCCACATTGTCCTAGACTAATGTCAAAGCTGCGAGGGCCTGAGAAATCTTCCAGGCCACCCACCCTGCTTTCAGCTGAAAAGACCAAGGCTCAGAGAAGCTAAGGGACTTTGTTCGCCTGGTGCCTAACTAGCAGCAACACCTGACCACAGCAGCCTGCAGTGTGAGGCTCTTAGGCGTTTATTGCTACAGTGGCAAATGCCATTCCACTTCTGTCCCAGCTTTGGTCCCTTTCCACCCCCATGGTTTCTTTTCTCTGAGTGCCAAGTCCAGACTCTCACCTATCACTACACTGCTATACCCATCGCTGCCAGCAGCCTGTTCCCACCACCTGGCCAGACTGCCTGCTTCCCCTGCTCCCATTAAAGCTGCTACAACTGGATTCCTTGGCTCTTCTGGCAAACCGAAGACACTACCGGGAGCTGCCCTGGTCTGAGCAGCAGGTAATTCTCCCCATTTAATTTCAGAACTCCCTCCTTCAATATAGTCTACCTTCTTTACCCATCCCTCAGCCCTATTTGGTCAGCTTATCCCTAGTATGCTTTATTGATTGATTGAGACAGAGTCTCACTCTGTTGCTCAGGCTGGAGTGCAGTGGCATGATCAGAGTTCGCTGTAGCCTCAAACTCCTGAGCTAAGGCAATCTTTCTGCCTCAGCCTCATGGAATAGCTAGGACTACAGGTGGTTACCACCATGCCTGGCTAATTAAAAAAAATTTTTTTTTAAGATGGAGTCTTGCTCTGTTGCCCAGGCTGGGGTGCAGTGGCGTGATCTCGGCTCAGTGCACCCTCTGTCTCCTGGTTCAAGTGATTCTCCTGCCTCAGCCTCCCGTGTAGCTAGGACTACAGATGCCCGCCACCGTGCCTGGCTAATTTTTTGTGTGTGTGTGTGGAGATGGGGGTTTCACCATATTGGTCAGGCTGGTCTCGAACTACTGACCTTGTGATCTGCCTGCCTCGGTCTCCCAAAGTGCTGGCATTCCAGGTGTGAGCCACCACGCCCAGCCAATTTTTAAAATTTTTGTGGAGACACTATGTTAAGGTACTATGCTATCCAGATTGGTCTTGAATTCCTGGCCTCAAGCAATCCTCCTGCCTTGGCCTCCTGAAGTGCTGGGATTACAGACCTGAGTCACTGCACCCAGGCCCCTAGTATCCCTTATAATTTGACTTGCTATTGTTTTTCTTTCTCCTTCCCTTTTCTTTCATTTCTTTCTCACTCTCCAAGAGAAGAGTGAGCATCTGGGAAAGTCAGAGGCTGCTGCGTCCTACAGAGTGAAGAGGCAGGACTGGGTCCAAGGCAGTCCTGCCTCTCTACTCTAGGGAGTATCCTTGGACAGTGTCTCTTCTGGGAAGTGGCTCCTCTTTCTTTCTCTTGTAGGCACAGTTTCTCTGGAAGAAGATGCAAGTACCCACCAACCTGACCCTCAGGAATCTACAGTGAGTAACTTGTGTTGAGCAGTGCGCTGAATTCGACCAACATTTTTTTGAGTGCTTACTATGTGCCAGGCACCGTGTGATATGGAATGGGGGATATAGGGATGAATGGTGCATAGTCCCTGCCTCATGTACGTTCTCCTAGCTCCTCCCTTTGGCCTCCTGTCCTTCCACAGTGCCATGCCTATCCTGACTAGAGCCAAAGGACTCAGAAAACCTGGATTCAGGTTCCAGTCCTGTCACCTACTTGTGCCCTTGGGCAAGTCATTTAACCTCCCTGTGTCAGTTTTCCCTTCTTTAAATGAGAATTACAATGGCACCAGCCTCATAGGTAGTTATCGTGAAGATTAAATGAGGTAAGTCATGTGAGATATGTAACACAGTGCCTGGTCCATTGTAAACTCCCAGTAGGCATTTGCTACTATTAGTTTACTTCAGGGTGACTTCAGAGGCACCGTCCAAGCAAGAATAAATAGGAATAAGAAGGTATCACTTTACTTACACCCACAGTAAAAGAACAATGGGCTTCAGAATCTTTTTTTTTTTTTTTTTTTTTTCCAAGACAGAGTCTTGCTCTGTTGCCCAGGCTAGAGTGCAGTGGTGTGATTTCGGCTTACTGCAACGTCTGCCTCCCAGGTTCAAGCGATTCTCCTGTCTCAGCCTCTGGGGTAGCTGGGATTACAGGTGCGTGCCACCATGCCCAGCTAATTTTTGTATTTTTAGTAGAGATGGGGTTTTACCATTTTGGCCAGGCTGGTCTCAAACTCCTGACCTCATGTGATCCACCCACCTTGGCCTCCCAAGGGCTTCAGAATATAAGACATGGCTCTAGTTTCAGTTTACCACATTTCTAGTAGAATGATGTTGGGAATGTCACCTGACCTCTGTAAATCCTTATTTTCTTCTCTGATAAACAGCAGTGATGTTATGGGGGAGCTGATGAGAATATCTATGTAAAAAATTTCTCAAACCATAAATTGCCATGAATGAACATCTGTACTTGTGTTGAGAGTACTGATATCAAGGAGCAAACAGGCTGTTGTATGTGTTGAATGAGCATCTCCCGACTCTCACACCCACAGAGCTCTGGGCACCCTGGCAGGGGGCATGTCCTGTGAGTTTCTGCAGCAGATCAACTCCATGGTAGACTTCCTTGAAGTGGTGCACATGATCTATCAGCTGCCCACTAGAGTTCGAGGGAGCCTGGTGAGAGGGGGTGCCTGGACATTAGTGGGAGCAGGGAGGCTGAGACCCTAGGTATAGAAGCTAGCTCCTATGTTCTGCTCTGGCCTCACCCTGCTTCCCTACAGAGGGCCTGTATCTGGGCAGAGCTACAGCGGAGGATGGCAATGCCAGAACCAGAATGGACAACTCTAGGGCCAGAACTGAATGGGCTGGATAGCAAGCTACTCCTGGACTTACCGTAAGTACTGCAGTTAGAAATATTGGCCCCTCAGAAAGCTCAATCTGGGGTGAAGATCTGCCCTTAGGGAATGCCCTAGAGGAGGCGGTTTTTCTGTCTGGTAGTTCCCTGACATCATTTATAGCCCACAGCAGAGGATTTTATTCAAAGCTGCTCTATGTGTTGACTGGTTCCCAGAATATACTCCAGCATGGGGCAGCAGAGGGTAGCAACACTGTATTGAGGCCTGCCGAGTAATCTTACAATAACCTAGTCCACATTAATTGAGATTGAGATAGTGTCTGAAGTGAGGGAGGCAATACTCCAATGCTGCCCCAGAGGATTGTAGTTTGCTCAGGGCACTGTGTTCTTAGTGCGTTCAGAGGAGTAGATCGAGAGAAAATGTATGAAAAATGTGATAAATGCCTTCAAATACCTGAGGGGCTATCAAGTAGAAATTAGATTGTCATATTTACGAGTGGCCCCATTGGGCAAGACTAAGAGTCGTTAATGGAGATCAGATTTTTACATAGTATAAGAAAAACTAAGGTAGTGAGTTCGTGGTCCTTGGAGCTGTTTGAGCCTAGGTCAGATGGCCCCATGGTAGGAATGTTGTAGAGCACGTTCATATATAGGTTGTGGGAAGAAAAGGCTATAGGAACCCAAGGCTTCTCCCTACCCATAGAGAAGTTTGTTAGTATCTTACTCATATGCTGCTTTTCTCGTTTTACCCCTACCACCACCCCATTGCCATCTGCACTGTAAGTCAGAATAAGAAAATGCTGGTATTACAGTCTTGCTGGGGAATATGGAGATGAAATGGAGTAAAAGTAGTTGACTTCATTCTTACTTTTGTTTTGTTTTGTTTTGTTGAGACAGAGTTTTGCTCTGCCACCAAGGCTGGAGTGCAGTGACGTCATCTCGGCTCACTGCAACCTCCATCTTCCAGGTTCAAGCAATTCTCCTGCCTCAGTCTCCCGAGTAGCTGGGACTATAGGTGTGCACCACCATGCCAGGCTAATTTTTGTATTTTTTGTAGGGATGAGCTTTCACCATGTTGGCCAGGCTGGTCTTGAACTCCTGACTTCAAGTGATCTGCCTACCTCAGCTTCCCAGCCTTCTTACATTTTTATCGGCGTTTCCACATATTTTAGCTCTTGTATGACTTAGACCAGTTCCAGAACTGGCAATCCTAGGTAGGGTACAGGTTATCACCTCTGATTTCTGGGCAAAAGGGATTTATTTATTTATTTATTTATTTATTTATTTATTTATTTATTTATGTTTTTGAGACAGAGTCTTGCTCTGTCACCCAGGCTTGAGTGCAATGGTGCCTTCTCAGCTCACTGCAATCTCCACCTCCCGGGTTCAAGCAATTCTCCTGCCTCAGCCTCCTGAGTAGCTGGGATTACAGGTGTGTGCCACCACACCCGGCTAATTTTTGCATTTTTAGTAGATACGGGATTTCACCATGTTGGTCAGGCTGGTCTCGAACTCCTGACCTTGTGATCTGCCTGCCTTGGCCTCCCAAAGTGCTGGGATTACAGGCTTGAGCCACCGCGTCCAGCCTGTTTTTACTTTTTTTAATGCCATTCAAATCTGTTTAAATATATGGGTTCTGTGAGATAATTTAAAATTCCAAGGTTATAGATGAGGTGAAAGGTCCTGGACAATGCATCAAAAAACTTGAGTTCCTCATTTGTGAAAGAGGGATAAAAGAAACACCTATTTTGTCCAGGCGCAGTGGCTCACACCTATAATCCCAGCACTTTGGGAGGCCAAGGTGGGTGGATCACTGAGATCAGGGGTTCAAGACCAGACTGGCCAACATGGCAAAATGCCTCTCTCTACTAAAAATACAAAAGTTAGCTGGGCGTGGTGGTGCGTGCCTGTAATTCCAGCTATTCGGGAGGCTGAGGCATGAGAATTGCTTGAACCTGGGAGGTGGATGTTGCAGTGAGCTGAGATCCCAGCACCACTGTGCTCCGGCCTGGGTGATGAAGTGAGGCCAGGTCTTGTAGGATCAAATGAAATAACACCTGAAAGAACTTTGTAAATTGTGTAGCACATACAAACAAGATGGGACCTCTTCACAAGTAGAGGAAGGGTGGCCCTGTGGGAAAAAACGGGAATTGGGAGTGAGAAACCTCAACATTTGATCTCTGTGAACCTCAGTTTTTTAATCTATAAAATGGGGAAATGTTAATGGTAGTTAATATTTGGAGCTTTTGAGTCCATTAGATCAGGTAGGATTGTTTTTTGTTTTTTTTTAGGAAGACTAGAAATATGTCACTCCCTTTTTCTCTCCCGTTCAAGCTTGATGGTGGGAATTGGCCCTGGAGCTGTTTACTATCAGTTCCTGTCCAGCTTCACTAAGTTTGGCCTGGGGTCACATCTTACCTGGGGACTGTGGGGTTCTGTGGTCCCTTCTCGAATTGGCCCAGTTCCAACTGAATGCTGTTGTTGTCAAATTGCTATAATAGAATCCAGTTGATGGACAGACTATCCAATGAATCCATTATGTTGGTGGTGGAGCTGGTGCAAAGAGCTCCAGAGCAGCTGCTGGCACTGACCCCACTCCACCAGGCAGCCCTGGCAGAGAGGGCACTACAAAACCTGGTAAGAGTCCACCCTACGAGACTCAGATTTGCTGCCCTGGGCAATTCTTGCTCCTCAGACAATGCTCTCTGACTGTCTCCCAATACTCTACTTCTTGCTTTCCTGCTGCTGAACAGGTTCCTGTCTTCAAGGCCTGGCCCCCGTTTTCCCTCTGGGTTCCGTTCCTTGATAATATGCTTCATGCTAATTGTCCAAACCTCTTGGAGTCCAAGAAATCTCTTGCAGTCCACCTCTCAGACTTTCTGCCTGCTCCTGTGTGGGCTCATTGCTTAAGAAAGTGAACGAAGGTAGTAAGCATCATAGGGTGCTGAGTTGGGAGCAGGAGAGAAGGTCAAGGGGCTTGGTGTCTTGATCAAGGTTTCTGGTACTCTGAGTCAGAAGTGCATTGTCCAAGTTCTGATGCTCTTCTCCAGGCTCCAAAGGAGACTCCACTCTCAGGGGAAGTGCTGGAGACTTTAGGCCCTCTGGTTGGATTCCTGGGGATAGAGAGCACACGACAGATCCCCCTACAGATCCTGCTGTCCCATCTCAGTCAGCTGCAAGGTTTCTGCCTAGGAGAGACATTTGCCACAGAGCTGGGATGGCTGCTATTGCAGGAGTCTGTTCTTGGGTATGGACCTTTGAGAACTTCAGATTCTAACTCATTCTGTACCCAATCCTTCAACCACCATCATCAGTGGCAGTCTGTTCTATATTCTTAAGGTCCCTTGGAGCCCTGTGTCCCAAATCCTAGCATGTCCTCTTTTCCCCTTCCTTTTCCTCACAGTTCCCTCAGCTCCCCAGCCCCCGATTTTCTTCCTGTCCCCAGGAAACCAGAGTTGTGGAGCCAGGATGAAGTAGAGCAAGCTGGACGTCTAGTGTTCACTCTGTCTACTGAGGCAATTTCCTTGATCTCCAGGGTGAGATGAAGGAAGAAGGGAAGGGAGTAGATGCATAGAGGGGACTGGTGAGCTGGTTATGGGGACCCATGGCCAAAGAGGGCAAAGGATATGAAGCCTATATCTAGGGGGAGACTGCGAAACAGAGACAGGACTTTGGAATTACAGCTACAGCAGCAGGCCCTGATCTGTCCAGATCTCCCTACTCTCCTTCTACCTTCTCATGCAGGAGGCCTTGGGTCCAGAGACCCTGGAGCGGCTTCTAGAAAAGCAGCAGAGCTGGGAGCAGAGCAGAGTTGGACAGCTGTGTAGGGGGCCACAGCTGGCTGCCAAGAAAGCAGCCCTGGTAGCAGGGGTTGTGCGACCAGCTGCTGAGGATCTTCGAGGTGAAACTACCCAAATACTCATATGTCCAGCAGGATGTACAGGGAGTATCAAATAGTTTGGGTTCTGCATATGCTTTTCTCTGGGACTGGGTTTTCTAATTATAAAGAAGAGGTTAGAGGGATGATCTTCAAGTCTCTTCTAGTTCTAGAATTCTATAGCTTTGGGAGTTTGTAAACTATTAAGTTTTCTTTTAGCCCAGAATTTCCGTTTTCCTGCTCTCTTGTCTCTTTAAACAGCTGATTCAGCTCTAGCTTGGCTAAGTGTGGAGCTCTCTGCTGGGGAGATCCCTAGAAGCTTTGAGGGAGACATTGTGAGGCTAGAGAACTGGGTTCAAATTCAGCTCTGCCATTAAATCCCTGACCAACATCCTCAGTCTTTCATCTATAAAAGAAGGGACTTGGCATCTCCAATCACTTCTTGTTCTATTATCTTCTAAGCTCTATACATCTTACCTTGTAATAATCCTTTGGTCCCTACTTCCCACAGTGCTCCATCCTCCAAAGGTTGGAAGAGTCATTCCATCTACAGATATCTCTGGGCATATTTTATTACCATACTGACCTCCTGACCCTGTCTTCCCCCTTCAGAACCTGTGCCAAATTGTGCAGATGTACGAGGGACATTCCCAGCAGCCTGGTCTGCAACCCAGATTGCAGAGATGGAGCTCTCAGACTTTGAGGACTGCCTGACACTATTTGCAGGGGACCCAGGACTTGGGCCTGAGGAACTGCGGGCAGCCATGGGCAAAGCAAAACAGGTTAGTGATGGAGAGTCAACTGGGGTTGGCCATGAAGAAGCTCTTTGGGTGTGATGTAGGACACAAAGAGAATATAGAGTTGGATGAGAGGTGGGGGAAGCAGGAGATAAAAGAATTAGAAGATTTGGGTCACAAGTAGGAGGTGAGTGGGGATAAATATTGAGGGAAGAGAGCTAGTATAATGAATAGAGGGACTAAAGCAGTGATTACCAAATTTTAATGTGTATCGGAATCATCAAGGGAACAGATTTTTTTTCTTTATTCTTTTTTTCTTTCTTTCTTAAAAAAATAATGGCATGCTTCGGCCAGGCGCGGTAGCTCATACCTGTAATCCCAGCACTTTGGGAGGCTGAGGTGGGCGGATAATGAGGTCAGGAGATCAAGACCATGATGTCTAACACAGTGAAACTCCAACTCCACTAAAAATACAAAAAAGTTAGCCAGACGTGGTGGCGGGCACCTGTAGCCCAGCTACTTGGGAGGCTGAGGCAGGAGAATGGGGTGAACCCGGGAGGTGGAGCTTGCAGTGAGGCAAGGTCAAGAAAGCACTCCATCCTGGGCGACAGAGTGAGACTCCACCTTGAAAAAAATAAAAATAAAAATAAATAAATAAATAAACAAAATAATAATAATAATGGCATGCTTCATGAATTTGCATGTTATCCTTGCATAGGCGCTGTGCTAATCTTTGTATCATTCCAATGTTTTTATGTGTATGTACTGCTGAACCGAGCACAGGAACAATGCCAGTGCTGATTACCATGCTAGACTGACTTAATAAAAACCTTTGGGGAGGCTGGACGCAGTGACTCACGCCTGTAATCCCAGCACTTTGGGAGGCTGAGGCAGATGGATTGCTTGAACCCAGAGGTTTGAGACCAGACTGGGCAACATGGTGAAACCCTGTCTCCACTAAAAATAGAAAAAAAATTAGCTGGGTGTGGTGGCGCATGCCTGTAATCTCAGCTCCTCGGGAGGCTGGGGTAGGAGAATCCTCTGAGCCCAGGAGGTGGAGGGTGCAATGAGCCAAAATCGCACCACTGCACTCCAGCCTGGGTGTCAAAACAAGACCCTGTCTCATAAATAAAAAAATAAGCCTCTGGGGGAAGGAGTCCAGACATCTGCATCTGCCTTTTTTTTTTCTTTTTTTTTGAGACAGAGTCTCACTCTGTCACCCAGCACGCAGGCTGGAGTGCAGTGGTGTGACCTTGGCTCACTGTAACCTCTACATCCTGGGCTCAAAGGATCCTCCTGCCTCAGCCTCTCAAGTAGCTAGGACTACAGGTGCACGCCACCATACCTGGCTAACTTTTGTATTTTTGGTAGAGATGGGGTTTTGCTATGTTGCCCAGGATGGTCTTAAACTGCTGGACTCAAGCAATCCTCCCACCTCAGCCTCCCAAAGTGCTGGGATTACAGCTGTGAGCCACTGTGCTGGGCCTCAGGCATCTGTGTTTTAATAAATGTCTCTGTGTCTGATGCACATAAAAGTGTAGAACTCATGGACTAGAGTTAGTCTGCTCTTCTTTTCCACTGACTGTAATGTCTTTCAAAACACGTTAGAGGAACTGTAAGGCAACTGTCTCATTTGACAGTGGAGGAAACTAAAGAAAAGGCAGGTGACTTGCCTAGAGTTATACAGCTAAGGGCAGAGGCAAGACTTAAAACCCAGCATTCT